GCACGCACCCACGAGCACGAGATCGTGGAGGAACCAGGTGCGAAACCCGTCTCACGTGCACCATACCGACTGAGTCCGACCGAACTGACAGACATGAAGAAACATATAGAATATCTACTGGGCCGACAACTGATTCGCCCATCCACCTCTCCCTATGGTGCACCATTCTTCTTCACTCCAAAACCAGACGGTAGTCTACGGATGTGCATCGACTACCGTGCATTGAACAAACAGACAGTTAAAAACAAATACCCCATACCGCGCATAGACGACCTACTCGACCAATGCAACAATCTTTTCGAAGTTGGACCTACAGTCGGGTTACTGGCAGATCAAGATGGCGGACAGCTCGATCCACAAGATGGGGTTCTGTACCAGATACGGCTCCTACGAATACTTGGTGATGCCGTTCGGACTTTGCAACGCACCAGCAACGTTTCAGGCGGAGATGAATCACATCTTACGACCCCTGCTGGACGAGTGCGTGGTGGTGTACCTGGACGACATTCTCATCTACTCCAAGAACATGAAGGAGGACGTGGAGCATTTGCGGAAGGTGTTCGAGATCCTGCGGAAAAACAAGTTCTACGTAAAGCTGTCGAAGAGCGACTTCGCCCTGAAGAAGGTGCAGTTTCTCAGGCACATGGTTAGTGCCGACGGCGTACACGTGGTCCCGCGGAAGATCGAAGCCGTCAAGAAGTGGAAAGTACCGGAGAACGTGAAGGAGTTGTAGCAGTTCCTAGGCTTCGCCAACTACTAGAACAGGTTCGTGCCGCAGTACGCAAAGATAACAGCGCCACTGACCGACCTACTGAAAAAGGATACGCCCTTCAAATGGGATACTCCTCATCAGCAAGCCATGGAACAGCTACAGACAGCACTGACTACAGCGCCGGTACTCATCTTACCGGATCCAGACAGGGACTACGTGGTGGAAGCAGACGCTAGTGACCAAGCAGTCGGAGCAGTACTGATGCAGGATCATGGACGCGGTTTGCAGCCCATCGCCTACCTCAGTAAGAAGCTACACGGAGCAGAATTGAACTACCCCATCCATGACAAGGAAGCCTTAGCGATAGTCATAGCCTTCAAGGCGTGGAGGTGTTACCTAGAGGGAGCCAAGACTACAGTATACATTGACCACTGCAGTCTCAAATACCTGAAGTCGCAGCCAACGCTCTCACGGCGACAGGTGCGGTGGGTGGACTTCCTGGAACCTCACTTCCACTACGACATCGTCTACAAGCCCGGGCTACACAACGAAGCAGACGCATTGAGCCGCCCCGGACATGTAGCAGACATCCAGCTCGACGGGATGAACCCTCTGCTCAAGGGTCTATTCCAACATGGGTACTCCGTGGACGCAGAGATTGCTACAGCACAGACCAAGAAGCTGTTACAGTGGGAGAAAGACTTAGCTGTAAGGAAGGGTTCAAGAAAGATTTGGGTACCGAATTACGCCCCACTACGGCAGATCCTATTGGAGGAGTTTCACGACGTACCTTACGCAGGACATTTCGGGAGCAACAAGACGTTAGCAGGGATAGCGAAGTATTACTACTGGCCCGGGATGGCAGCAGACGTGCTGCAGTTCGTCACCTCATGCGACACGTGCCAGCGTATGAAGAGCATCAAGCAGAAAAAAGAAGGGTTACTACAGCCTCTACCCGTACCGGAGCAGCCATGGCAGGTCGTTAGCCTCGACTTTATCACAGGACTTCCTTCGACCTCACGGGGGCACGATTCCATCCTCGTAGTAATCGATAAGTTCTCCAAAATGGGTCACTTCATACCGACCAACGCCACAGCTACAGCTGAAGCAACCGCTCGCCTCTTCTTCGACCGCATCATCACCATCCACGGCGTCCCCGCTACACTCATCTCAGACAGAGACCCAAAATTCACCAGTAAGTTCTGGAAGGAGCTCATGGGACTATTGGGGACAAAGCTTGCATTGTCTTCAGCATACCACCCCCAGACTGACGGACAGACAGAGCGACTCAATCAAGTGGTTGAATAGTTACTGCGCACAGCTTGCAAGGACGACGTCAGCCACTGGGACACACAATTACCGACCCTAGAGTTTGCTTACAACAACGCATCACATGCGGCCACAGGGAAAACTCCTTTCTTCCTGTGTTACGGACGGGAACCACTCACACCACAGCAGCCAACCACACCGGCACACGTCCAAGCCGCACATGACTTCGTCACCACCATGCAGCAGCTATGGGAGAAGACTCAGCGACGACTCACCACGATGCAGACCTCCCTGAAGCAGTATGCCGATCGTCAGCGACGTGATCACTCAATAGCAGTCGGAGATCAGGTGCTTCTTGACACGCGCAACTTGAAACTGTCTCACCTCCCATCCAAACTCCGGCCTCGCTTCTGTGGTCCTTTTCTCGTTGAGGCACAGGTGACACCAGTTACATTCGGCTTGCGCTTACCAGATACATGGAAGCTTCACAACGCTTTCCATGTTCAGCTACTGAAGCCCTACAAGGACCCTAACCAACAATTCCAGGGACGGCAGCTACCGCCACCACCACCTGTTCTCGTACAGGATGAACCAGAGTACCAAGTGGAATGCGTTCTCACTCATCGGCGCCGCGGTGGCAAGACCCTCGAGTTCCTGATACGCTGGAAGGGATACGACCCCAATGAGGACAGTTGGGTTGCAGAAGCTGATATGGGCAACGCACGCCATGCTCTCAAGGACTATCTTGTCAAGCAGGGTGTTTCTCACGCCACCCAGCTTTGAGGGGGGGACGTGTGAGAGTACGACGGCTTATGCTAGCTATGCTTGCTTGCCTTTACTTTATTATGCTATTTCTAGCATAGATAATTATATGCATGCATGAATTGCTTGATTTCATAGGCTAGGTGCTTTCCTATATTTTATTATAGTTATAGCACCGAGCTAGGTTGCGTGCACCGAATTCTGGCTTTTTGGTTGCCACCGAATTACCTTCTACCGAATTCGGGAAGGATCTGTTCGGGACGCTTCGCGACCCACGGAACCTTCGCATAACACCTGGTTACGGGGCCTTGTGTCGAGCCTATATATAGCCTCGTGTTGTACCCAGGTGATCATTCAATTCACATTCTCTTTTCTGAGCTCGATCCTAGATCCTCACAGTGGCGCCGTTCTCCCATTCGAGCCTGTTTGTGGTATCGCGCCCCGACGATCTGCTGGCTCCGAGGCACCATGGCTGTCAAATGATGCACTTTGATTCGAAAGACAGGTTCGACGCGGTGAACCACCAATCTTTGCTGGTGAACGAAGTTCTCGAGTGAGTCACCGATTTGCCACCCTGCTGTCGACTTGCCGTTCTCGACAATTTCTTACTCTCCTGTCCGTTGCTTTGCAGTTGGATGAAGCGGCAGCTTCGCGCCGAGTACGAGACGACTGGCGGGTTGTCACCGAGCACGAGCAGGGGGTGCTTAGCCTCCTCGACATGCGTCTGTAAATGATCAAGAGTTTCGATCATCTGGTAAGCCAACCCCCACCCTTACTCGTGCATGTTTTCGTCGAGCATGTTGTTCTGTCGCTTACATGTGTTTTATACCCGTCGCAGACGACAACGCCCTTGACGAGCCCCAATGTGTCGAAATATATTGTCATGTTTTATAACTGCTTGTAGTTGTAGTTAGTGTAGTTATTTAAACTGTTGTTGGTGGTGCACCTTATTTGGTTTCTATGCTATATGTACCCTTGAACCTATAGTGAAACCATCACTTTTCACCTTTACAACTTTCTCGACTCTCCTCCCTAGGCAAAACCCACTCGATACCTAAGTTGGGCCTAGGCTTCTAAGCCTAGGCCCTAGTTACTACTCATTGCTCACTCTCGCTTATTTTAACATGGAATCGGAGCTTTTTACGACCTGGCCTGTGGGCCCGCCTTACGCTTCCGCGATGATTTTTCGGTCGCGCGCCTAGGGCGCGTGACGATTTTTACTTAGTCCCGCCCACGGGTGTGTGGCTCTTACTCTGCCCGTCGCGCGCCCCGTGGCACGCGACGGTGCCCTTCATCTGCCCATCGTGCGCCCCGTGGCACACGATGGTGCCTTGCTCGTCGTGCGCCCCTAGGCGCACGATCGGGCCCTTTTTATTCTTCTACCCGTCGTGCGCCCCGTGGCACTGGCACGCGACGGGCCTTTCCGCCCCTGCTCTCCCTGAAGCCGCCCCTGACCCATCTGCACCGACACCTTTTCGCCGCTCTGCGGCTTTATTCCTTCCCACCCCCCTTCTTCCTTTGTCTCCCTGCAGCCGTGGGGAGGAGGGTATGGGGGTGGAGGGTGTTGGAGTGTTGGATCACCTCTCTCCCTTCCCCTCCTCCTTCTTTCAGTCCCACCGCTGTAGCTGCCGCTGGGGGGGGGAGGGTGTGAGGATGTGGGGGAGCAGGGGGAGTGGTACCGGGGTGGCGGGTGTGAGGCAACATGCAGCCGTCCCTCCACCACTCCTCACTTCCCCCCCTTCTCTGCTGCTCTGCAGCAGTGTGGGGGAGGGGAAGGAGGAGGGTGAGGAGATGGAAGGGGTACCTGCTGTTGCTTGCTATGCTGTAACTACATATCTACCTACAAGCATTATGGGGGCGTGTCGAAATATATTGTCATGTTTTATAACTGCTTGTAGTTGTAGTTAGTGTAGTTATTTAAACTGTTGTTGGTGGTGCACCTTATTTGGTTTCTATGCTATATGTACCCTTGAACCTATAGTGAAACCATCACTTTTCACCTTTACAACTTTCTCGACTCTCCTCCCTAGGCAAAACCCACTCGATACCTAAGTACGGGCCTAGGCTACTAAGCCTAGGCCCTTCCTTTCAACTTAGCCTATTACTTTGACACAATGAACCCGGCGCGGCAGCTCGTGTCGTGCATGGTGTGCGCCGGATTCTGACGAAGTGGGATGATTTCATCCTGCAGCCTCGACAGGGCGATCTCGTGATGCTCGGGAGAACGAGCCCTTGCCCGGTTATGCTTCCGTTGTTCATGGTCAAACTGTTGTGGGACAAGATGGACGATGTGGCGGAGGGAGTAGGAGTGGGAGTGGGAGTGGGTGCCGAACACGAGGGAGAAGGCGACGGGGCACCACGCGTCGTGGTTGAGTACACCTTAGAGGAGGAGGAGGAGATCGAGGAGGATACATCGAGGCAAGCTCAGCACGGGGTGAGCGGAGCAGGCGGCCATTCAAACGAGAACGAGGGCTCGAGCTCGGAATTGAGCTCCGACTCAAGCTCGAGCGATGAGTCGGACGAGCACGACGGCGAGGGCGCATGAGAACATCCAGGTGGGACGGAGCGTACGGAGGAGCACGGAGTGGTGCTCGGGGAGCGGGTGGACGAGCGGGTGAAGCATATCAAGCAGGAGGCGACGAGGGACTATGGGGCTGTCGAGGAGCAGGAGGGCGGAGCGGCTGCGCAGGAGGGTGGGGCGGGAGTGCAGATGCAGGAGGGCGGGGCGACTGTTCAAGAATTTTGGACAGGATTGCAGCAGCAGGTGGGCGGGGCGGCTGTGCAGGTGGGTGGGGCAGGAGGGCAGCAGCAGGAGGGCGTGGCGGCTGCGCAGGCGGGTGGGGTCGGTGGGCAGCAGCAGGAGGGCGTCACGGCTGCGCAGGAGGGTGGGACGGGAGGATAGGAGCAGGATGGCGGGGAGGCTGCGCAGGAGTGTCGTCGAGGACAGGTCATAGTAAGGAGGAGACACCGCACGGCCAGTGGCAGCGGACAGGCGGGCCCTTCGACCAAGCGCCATTCGACGGCAGGCCAATCGACGACGACCATTGCATCCGGAGGCCAGGTCGTTGAGCTACTGCAGAGGGTCGCGGAGGTTGAGGCGTCGCAGAAGAAGCTCGTCGCTGACATATTTGCGAAGCACAGTGAGCAAGCCGCTGTTTTCAATAAGCTTGCCGGGAATTTCCGGACGGCCTGGAATACGATTTCGGAGTCGTCGAGGAGCACGATGAAGCAGTGCAGCGACGCCGTTAACGGTGTCACGGAGGAGAGGAAAATGTTGGAAGGGGCCCGCACAAAGCTCGACGAGATGAGCAGGAACATCATCGAGGGTGTGGCAGCCGCTAACGCAAAAGCGAGCGAGGACGCCGTCGAGAAGCAGCTTAAGCTTGTCGAGGAGCGGCTGGTTGCTTCGGTCGCGTAGGGTATCAAGAAAGCCGTCAAGGAGGACTTGTTCTACTCCGCCATCCCGCCCGAGAGCATGAAGGTGCTGAAGGACGTTGTGAGAGAAGGCTACCAAGAAGCTGAAGCTGGGAGATTGGAAGTCCTCACCGAAGCGATGGCGAGAGGGTTTCAGCGCTCGGCGGGCCCGTCGACGAGGTCGCGTCAGGTCGCTCTGAGGTGTGGCTGGTGTTCGCAGCGGGGGTGAGCGTCGAGTTCATGAGCGCTCGGTTCCTCCTTCTTTGGTGGGAGGACATGTTGGCAGCCCGGTAGCATCCCCACCGTCGCGTGCCCGTCATCACGTCGGCAAGTCCGTCGAGGACAACGAGGTCATCGTACTCGAGCAGTCGCCCCCTCAGAAGACCACCGAAGCAGCACCGAAGCCTCCGACTGATGCTTTTGCTCCGCTGCGGGACATGCTTTCGGGCCTCGGGAAAAAGGGTGGGAAAGGATTGGTTGCGGGGGAGCAAAGTGGTGCCCCTATTGAGTCCGTCGCCTCAGCCGGGAAAGGAGCCATGGGAAATCGAGGTGCCCCTACCCCGTCAGGCAGCGCTGCAGGGAAAGGAGCGGGGGAGACACGGGGTGCTCCCAGCCAGGTCGTCATCGCTGGTGGGTTGCTGTCGAAGACAACGGCCGATACTGCTTTGCAGCTCTGTGTTGTTGGCCATCCTGTCGAGCCAGTGGGAAAGAGGGCGTTTTCCTCTACCCCTCCCGTTGCTCCTGTCATTGCTCCCGCCCTAGGTGACGTCCACCTTAGCAAATTGGCGTCCCCTCCTCATGCTCCACGCGGCTCCCCTTCTGCGTCGAGGAAAAGGCAGGCGTCGAGGAAGTTGCCAAAGCGCGGTGCAGGGGCGACAGAGAGCGGTGACGTGGTCCTAGGGGGTTGTGTCGAGATGGTTTCAACGTCGACAGGTAGCGGTCTCTCCTCTGCCTACCGGAAAGGCGTTGTCCTTAACGGATCGTTCTCCATAAGTGCCTAACAGAAAGCTCTCAGCACCCTAAACCGTTGGCCTAACAGACAAAGACGACCTTACTGATGAAACCAGTTTAGGATTTCATTTATTCCGTGGTTGGGGTGATAACCCTTTGCTTACGAATGACATCTGGGCCTTGTCCCTTGACGTGGCCGTCATCTGGTGTCGTGACCCATTTGATGGCGACACACGTAACCCGTCGCCCGTCCGACGGCGACGTCTCGCTCGACCGTCAAAGTGATCGGTCGACCGCAATTGACGGCGCCGTCGATTGTGACGGACGGCCGGTTGCGAAACCCGTTACCACTCACGTCGACCGTCAGCGAGGCCTGTTAGGCAACATCGATGGCGACGTGAGGCGCTGTAACCCATCTTGTTGGGGGTGCATGCTGCTCGACGACGATTGGCCAATGTCCGTCGAGCAGTGCTCGATAAATGTCCCCGAAATTGCAACAATGCGGCTGACATATATATGCGCATAAGAATCCGACATTGAAACGGAGGGATTCGGAGGGTTTTTTTTGCCTGGTCAGGAGGGATTTTCAGGGGGACCGGAGGGATTTGGAGGGTTTTCGCATTTGCCCCGAGATCCCTTTGTGCCAGGGTGGGCGGGGCGGCATGTGCTGACGTCACCCGTCCCTATATAACTGGGAAGATATCAACGGAATCTAAAATGACAAAAAAATGGCTCTAGTTGGACTTAAGCTAACTGCATTTGGACGCGTGTTACGTATTTCGGAAACATGCTTATGGAGGGTATTTCCATAAATTATTGTGCCATTATCTTTCGGAATTCCCTGGTCAACCAGGAGGCATTCCTTCAGTTGTCTGAGCGGGCCGACTACTTAGCGCGTCAGTCTAGCCACGCTACCGAGATTCGTACGACCGATATTATCTCTGACAACCCATACCATCCGTCCGTTTAGCAGCCGCCGTGAAATCGGATGGTCGATATGTCAAAACTGGTGCTTCACGGCACGGCGATCTCGCCATACACGCGACGCGTGATCATGACGCTTTACGAGATGGGAGTGGAGGTACGACGACCAGGGAAAATGTTTCATAAATTGACGTAGTGTGAACGCGAGAAATCTGACGCTATACGAGACGGGAGTGGAGGTGTTTCCTACGAGACAGGACTGATCGAGTGTAGGAAATGTATTTCAGAATGTGCTGAGCGTATGCATGAAGAGCAAATCACTTTTCTACACGCAAATGGAAGTTGTGTATTAGGGTCAGGCATTGCGACCACGTGCGGCAACTGAGGATCGATAGTAGGCATTCCCAGCTGCATTGAGGTGGGAAATGCGCTTTCACAAGTGCCCGATCATATCATCGGCTCACGCAGCCATGAGATCTCTTGCGTTTTGATCCATCTATCCATCATGTTGAAATGAATGAACAGGAATGATTGAACTAACGGTGAAATCAGTACATGTACCTAACCCTAGAATTGTGTACCCCCTATAGGCTAACCCACTGTAGCCTAAACAAGCACAACATATATAATGTTTGACACACCCCCATAGGCGAAGTGGGGGAGAACTAGGGGTCACAAGACCAGTCAAGTAAAGCAAAGCAAAGCAAGCTCAGGGTGGATCACAAAGTCACCACACATTCCGAGCACAAGTTCAAGGCCACAAGGCCAGTTCACATGCAGGAGTACATATATATATAAGGCTAGACAAGCAAGAGCAGGTATATATATATGTAACAGTACAAGTAAGGTTAAGAGGTGAGCAAGTGAGGCAAGACAGGTACAAGACCCAGCTGGGTGCAGAAGCGCTGATGATCACAAGGCGCAAGTGCCTTGGTGAAGACATCAGCAGTGTTGGCGTTAGAGGCCACGTACGCAAGCCGCAACTGACCACGCTGTTGTAGCTCACGAGCAAGGAAGTAGCGGAGAGCAATGTGCTTTGTTCTGTGCTCCAGTCTCTGCTCTCGACACAAGGCTAGCATGGCCTTGTTGTCTACATACAGGACTGGAGGAGAACGAGGCGGCTCTCCAAGGTAGGTGAGCCAGCGAAGCTCCTGTGCAGCCATGGCCCCTGCGTAGATCTCAGCCTCACAACTGGAGCCGAGAACAGAAGACGAGCGAGTAGCCCGCCACGAAACAGAGCCGGAACCAAGGCTGAAGGTGTAACCCTATGACGTCCGCTGCGTAGCCTGGTCGTCAGCCCAAGAAGCGTCTGCGTGACCAGTGAGGACCACTGGACTCCGCCCTCCAAGCACTAGCCCCATGCCCGACGTACTGCACAAGTAGCGCAACACCATTTTCGCTGCAGCCATGTGCTCTGGTCGGTGTCTCCCAGGAGCAACATAGCGTGCGAGAATGCTAAGAGGGTATGCAAGGTCAGGTCGTGTGCAGGTCATCAGGTACATGAGGCAGCCAACAAGCTCTGGGTACGGCCCACTCGACTCTACGGACTCATCCGAAGGCAGAGCTGAGAGCGAGTGGCGAGTAGGCAGAGGAGTGGCCTGAGGCGAGGAGTACGTGAAGTCGAAGCGCTGAAGGACCTGCTGCACCATGTGTGACTGAGTCAGGGTGATGGTGCGGCGTGCTCTGTCCCGGGTGATCTGCAAGCCAAGGTAGCTGCGCAGTTCACCAAGGTCTGTGCACGTGTGTCTCTTCTGCAGCTCGGACTTCACGTAGGCGAGTCCAGCAGTGTCAGCTGTGGCAAAGACCAAGTCGTCGACGTACACGAGGATGTAGAACGGCGGCAGAGAAGTGTCGGTGCGTAGAAACAGCGACGGGTCGGTAGTAGAGGGAGCAAACCCAAGAGCCGCAAGCGTAGTCCTCAGTGTGTCGTGCCACTCACGCGGTGCCTGGCGGAGACCATAGACTAGCCGCCGGAGGCTCCACTGGGTGCCAGGAGGAAAACGCCCAGTGAAGCCAAGTGGGCGGCGCAGCCAGATCTCCTCGTGCAGGCTGCCCTGCAAGAAAGCAGTGCTGAAGTCAAGAGAGTGTAGCTCGTAGTCACGGTGAGCAGCTACGTGCAGTAGTACCCGAAGAGTGGTCATCTTCGAGGTGGGAGAGAAGGTCTGAAAGTAGTCAACTCCCTGCCGCTGCATGAAGCCACGAGCCACGTAACGCGCCTTGAAGACAGGCGGAGAACCCGGCGGCCGCTTCACCCTGAAAATCCACATGCCACTGACGATGTTCGCCCCAGGAGGGGGGACAGCGTCAACGTAGGTGCTTGTGGACTTCCAGGAAGCCATCTCTGCATCCATAGCTGCCTGCCACTGAGAAGAGTAGGGACCCTCTATCGCCTCCGCGTAAGAGCGCGGAGTCGGGATGTCAAGTGCATCCGGGTCTCCCTCAGGGGTAAGCAGTACGGACACGAGATGAGGTGAAGCAGCGGCCAAGCACTAGAACTCCTCCTGCCTGTCCTCAAGAACGTCCGTGCCAAGGGCACACTCACCCCCGACGGACGGAGGACAGACAGACTCAGACTCAGCGACAAGACTAACAGCGTAGTCTAGGTGACAGCGAGCAGCAAAGTCGACGAGCTCAGCAACTAGGGTAGACGCAGCAGTGGACTCAAAAGAAGGGTCAGTGACGACAGTAGCAAGGAGACGCGTGACAGTAGGACTGGCAGCACGAAGAGAGTCCGACTCAGGGTCGAGAAGAGCAGGAAGCGAGGACTCAGGAGGAGAAGGCAAAGGGGCACGCAGAGGAGCAGTGGTCGGATACAGAGACATCTGGTGCGTGCCAGGGACAGGAGGAGGACGCTGACGCGAATCGCAACCACTAGTGCGAGAAGTACGGACACGCGACGCAGGGCAAGACGCAGGCTCACGACGCTCAGCAAGACCTCCAGTAGGACCAGTGTAGGGAGAAGGAGCAGGCAGTGGGGAGGCGGGCTGTAACTGTAACCGTGACTGGACAGGCTGTGGACACTCTAAGGGAGGAGGAGGACCGAGAGAAGGCGGGAGACCAAGAACCTGCTGAAGGAGCGGAACGAAGTACGGCCGCTGCCGTGCAGCGACTCCAGAACCAGCAGAGACACCAGCGCCAGGGTCCTCCGCACCAGCAGCAGCTCCAACGCCCGACTCCACAGCACCAGCAGCAGCACCAGCTCCAGGGTCCTCAGCACCAGCAGCAGCTCCAACGCCCGGGTCCTCAGTACCAGCAGCAGCTCCAACGCCCTGGTCCTCAGCACCAGTAGCAGCACCAGCGCCCGGGTCCGAAGCACCAGCCGTAGCTCCAACGCCCGGGTCCGCAGCACCAAAAACAGCTCCAACCTCTGGGGCCTCAGCACCAGCAGAACCAGTAGAGTCTCCCGCACCAGTAGCACCACCAGCAGCAGCGGGGTCCGCGACACCAGGTGCGCCACTCCGAAGAGTGCAGCGCCGCTCGTACCACTCACGGATCCGCTCACGGGAGGGGAGCTCCCGGCTAGGAGGAGAAGCACTAGCACCAGTCCCAGTAGTACGCCTGGCGCCAGAGGTACCTCTCCTGAGGCTGCAGTACTGGAAGTAACACTCACGCAGCTGCTCCGAGGAGAGGGCTCCGCCAGGTGTAGGACCCTCAGGCTCAGGACCTCCAGACTCAGAACCCCCAGACTCCGGACTCTGCGGCTCAGCACCCCTAGGCTCTGTACTCCCAGGCTCAGCACCCCCAGGCTCCGCACCCCAAGGCTCAGCACCCCCAGGCTCCGCACCCCCAGGCTCCGCACCCCCAAGCTCCGCACCACCAGGCTCCGCACCCCCAGGCTCCGCACCCCCAGGCTCAGCACCCCCAGGCTCCGCACCCCCAGGCTCAGCACCCCCAGGCTCCGCACCCACAGCAGGACGAGAGTCGACAGCTACCTCAACAGGCTCGACCGGGTCTACCTGAGACACACCTGAGGGAGCGGCACCCTGAGGGGGGAGGGGGTCTATGACAGCAGCACCTGGCGCGAGGAAGAGAGGCGGGGGGGGGAGCGGGGCAGTGCGGTAGGGGAAGAGGCGGTAGTAGGGGACGGAATCGTCAAAAGTGACGTCCTGAGAGGGCAAGACTCGGC